CGGGGAGGGAAGCCGGGGCGAGGCGAGGAGGTGGCGGGAGGAGGAGACAGCGGGGAAAGGTGTCAGATAAAGGAGGGCTCTCCTCCGGTTTGGAGGCATCATGGCCGCTAAGTCAGACGGGAGGTTGAAAATGAAGAAGAGCAGCGACGTGGCGTTCACCCCGCTGCAGAACTCGGACCACTCGGGCTCGGTGCAAGGACTGGCTCCGGGCTTGCCGTCGGGGTCGGGAGCCGAGGACGAGGAGGCGGCCGGGGGCGGCTGCTGCCCGGACGGCGGCGGCTGCTCGCGCTGCTGCTGCTGCTGCTCTGGGAGCGGCGGCTCCGGGGGCTCGGGCGGCTCGGGCGGCGGCGCCGGCGGCCCGGGCGGCGGCGGCAGCGGGGCGGGCGCGGCGGCGCCGGGCCCGCGCCTGGGCAGGGAGCAGCGGCGCTACTCGCTGTGGGACTGCCTCTGGATCCTGGCCGCCGTGGCCGTGTACTTCGCGGACGTGGGCACGGACATCTGGCTGGCCGTGGACTACTACCTGCGCGGCCATCGCTGGTGGTTTGGGCTCACACTCTTCTTCGTGGTGCTCGGCTCGCTCTCAGTGCAAGTGTTCAGCTTCCGCTGGTTCGTGCACGATTTCAGCACCGAGGACAGCGCCACGGCCGCCGCTGCCGCCAGCTGCCAGCAGCCTGGAGCGGATTGCAAGGCAGTGGTCAGCGGTGGGTCTGCAGCCGGGGAAGGCGAGGCTCGTCCTTCCACGCCGCAAAGGCAAGCATCCAACGCCAGCAAGAGCAACATCGCCGCCGCCAACAGCAGCAGCAGCGGGGCCAACCGGGCCAGCGGCAAACCCAGGTCTGCGTCCTGCTCCTTCTGCATCTGGCTCCTGCAGTCGCTGATCCACATCCTGCAGCTCGGGCAGATCTGGAGGTACCGTATCAGGGTGGGGAGAGGGAGGCTGCTGCTGGGGCTACAGCCAGCCTGCTTTGCTTTCGCACGGAAATCGTTCAGGGTTGCTGTGGGAGTAACCCTAGCCACACTCAGTTCTTTTTTTTTTGTTTTAAGTTGGGGCTTGCATTTTTTTAAATTTGAGGTCTCAGCCTAGGGTGGGAGGGAACTGAGAAGCGAGGCAAGGACACGTTTTGATGCCCTCATCCCTCTCCCTTCCCACTCTGCCCACCAGCTTCTCCCTCATATATGTTACAACCCTCCTCCCCCCCATTTTTAGTAATATTTTTAAAGTGAGTAGGAGATGATTCCTGTCACGTCTTCTATTATTATTATTATTATTATTAGGTAGAATTTGAGGTGTGTATTGCAATTTGGACGATGTCTTTTGTCCCCCCTGAGAAAAATTGCTAATTCTATTTAAATGGGAGTTGTTGCTGTTTCAAAGTACCCTAGTTTGAATGATCACTGCTGGAGAAGAAAGTACTATACTCAAACTAAGGAGCTTCTTGGACACATGACTTATATACATATAAATCTCCAAGCAAGAGTACACGTTTTTACACGTTTTGGGATCCAGACTTACTTTTATAGTACACATTCTGATTATCTTGCAATATCCCCAGATCTGATTTTTCATATAACCGAGCACCTTTGGAGAGGGGGTGGTGTGTTGTGTAAACTTTAATCATACTTGGCATCTTCATTGGCTGTTTTGCTACTTTCATCTGATCAACCAAGTGTTTTTACACAGAGATCACTTCCACTTGCAAACCTGAATACCAGGCTAAACTTGTTGGGCAGGGGAAAACCACCACCACTCCATCAGTCACTGCGTGCACCTAGAGATATAATGAAATAGTATGCTCAGGAATGTGAGCTTTTCACTTTTACATGTTTTTAGTAGATTTTTAAAGCAATATTTTAGGTCTACAAAAGTTATTTGTATGGAAGTATGTAGATTCTAACATCCTAGAGCTTCTTTGGTTTTAAAATGACTTAGTAAATATGTAGTGTAAGTAAAATGCAGAAACTTCCTAGAAAGTGCCCCAAGATGGGACTGCACTCTGCCATACCAGTGTTCTTTATCAATTTCATTGTACTTATTTTTGTGATAAAAGACATTATAAGTCATTGACTATGCCAAAACATCCCATGTGAAAACAACTCAGAGAAATTTGTAAAGTAGAACCACAAACTTATTTTTGGTTTTGGCGACCAATAGGGTTTTGAACTGAGAAGAGCAAGTATGACGACTTCACAACCTTTCCTAGGACAATGCCTTGTAAAACAGGGTAAGAATCGCCATTAATAGTCACCTTTCAGATGGGGAAACTTTTTTTTTTTCCAGTAGATGCTTTCTGAGAAAGTGATATATGATATGCAATCAGACGAATTGATGTTGGACACATGTATTTTGGACTCAAGGGGATGTTTCAAAGTGCCAGACAAATGTGATAGCTATATTTTTCATGGATGATTATTGGAAAAACTAATAGTTTGATGCTTTAAGCATGATGAAGAACTTAAATACTTGCATTAATTTCTGAAGTTATTTAGTGACTGGGATGCATATGATTAGCATTTCTAAGCTGATAACATATTAAATGGAGCTTAACACTCTATTATCAACTTTTTCAAACTTTATGCAAAATTTGGAAATCACTTTTAATTGTCTTGAAAGTTTCTAGATTTATATAAATAATGCAAACACTTCTAAATTATATTAACTGAATAACTATGCATATATCCTACAGACTGATACTTTACGAAAAATCTGATATCAAATGTGAATTGAAGAAGTTATTTATTTTGGTTATAGTTGTGTTTACTAGATTGTCTAAACCAACCATTTTCTAAGTTGAAAAATGATGTTTCATTTTCTCAAGAATTAATATGTGGAAAGTGAGAAATAATTGGAAAAAGATAAAGGCCTGAGAACGTTTCAGAGAGACCACAGCTACTTATTATTATTATTATTATTAATAGTCAACTGGCCTTATAGAAAAGCTTTTAAGGGGGAGAGTGGACAGATAGCTAAGGTTGAATGTGACTAAGAAAACCACAGCTGTCAGACAAATGAATTAACTGACCCAACCCTCACAGAAACGATGGTCATGCTTGGCTCCTTTTTGTTAAACATTTCTGTAGGACTTCCCTTAGAAGCTTCAGTGTTTATTCTGATAATGATCATGTGAAAGTGTTGCCGTTGGAAAGATTATCAGATGCTTGTCAGCATCTTCAGAATGATGTGTTTAGTATGTAAGTCTGAATTACCCTCTAATCTATTTTTGGATTCTGGTTAAGATATTTGGGAGAGGCCAGTGTAATCTGGTGGAAGAATAATCAGTCTCATTTTCTCATTATATATATATATATATTTTTTTTTTTTTTGCCTGTACAAAGGTTTTTATTGGTGGGGGAGGGAGGCTGCAGAGCAGCACCAAGGAGGAGAGATAAGAGAAGAGAAAAGAGGAGAGAAAAGAGGAGAGAGAGATGAGGAGAGAGTGGGGAAGAGGAGAGAGAGAGAGGGCAGAGGAGAAAGGCGGGGAGAAGGGGAGAGAGCACATTATATATTTTTAAAATCACTTTAGCCTAATATAGGAAATTGAGAAAGATTAAGGAAAACTGATGGAGTTTAACAGTCAGCTGCATAATAGTAATGTTTCAGTTTCTCTGAGCATTGAGCATTTGGATGGAACTTTGGGGAGTAGATGCATCTTTGATAATAAGCTAGTGAAATATGACTCATCTCAGATTAGTGTATTAGATCATTGTCCTAGACCACTATGATTCCTTAAATTAGAATCATTCCTCTTCCTCTTCTAGCTTTTCTTTTCAATGCATTCTACACAAATACTGTAAAACACCAGGGTACTGAGTGGTTCAAAGCTCAGAGGTCATTATTCATGTTCTAACATGCTACTTTCTGGGATCAATAAAATAGATTTTAGCTAGGCTGGTAACTATTCCTTGTATTTCCATGAAATTCTAGTTGTTTTAGGGAAAAGCTAGATTCTAAAGCTTTCTGTAGATAAATCTTTTGAAATAACATCAAAGTGTTTACTTGCTCAGAAATAGCCATTTGAAACATTGTGAACAAGATTTGCATGTATTTATACATGTATTTCAAATGCAACTGCTGAAAGCAATGATACATATTCATTTTAATTAAAGTTTACTAATGGAAAATTAATGGCAGCTTTTAAAGTTGCAGGAGGAGATGCTGGGAAAGAGCCTTTTGAAAAGATGAAGTGAACCTTTGGTACCATGTGAAAAGCACAGTTAGGACTTTAAAGGAATCATGCCTATGAATGAATGAGAAAGTACTTTTCTTTCTTATTCATTTCATGTGATTCTAGAAATTACAATAGGACAGTTCAGCCAGTGGGAATCACAAATGCCTAGTGAGAACAGTTTTAGTCCTCATGCCCATGATCAGTTACACCTCCATGTCTTATTCCTTCAGAATTTATAAAATCTTCTTTTAAAATTTTACCTGAATTTCTCCTCCTGTGTATGTATGTACACATTTACTTGTTTTCTGGAAAATATTCACATTGCAATTAGCAAGTCAATGGATGGTAAAGTGGGGGGGGTATTTTCACTATTTTCTGGGGGCTACTTGGGGGTTTTATTTCTGAATCTCTACAATGAGAGTCAGGTGGGAAGGACGTGGTGAAAATGCAGTCTGTTCTCAATTGTCTTGTTGGGTATTTCCTAAAGTGGTGAGTGTATTCCATGTTCAAATAAATTGGGAAATGATAGATGAAGTAATACCAAGCAGATCTCTCTAAACAGGGCTTCTCAGGGCCTATAATAAGCTAATGTACAGTTGCCAATAATTTTTCTGAAGGTACACCAATTAAATACTTTTGTACTGATATGGCATACATACAAAGTGCATGCCGTTCTTAAACTTGGAAAAATAAGAGGAATAATAATAATTTCGTTTGGCCTTTAAAAATCTATGAATGTTGTCATTCTTTTTATCTCTTCTAAGTTTCACAGTAACCTAACAGAAAAGTATTAGTATCTGTGTATGTGAGAAAACTGGCTCAGAGGGAAAAAGGAATTGACACAAGGTCACACAATTATTATGTAATGTGGCTAGGATTCAAAACCTGGTCCTTCTTATCATAAAATCTAAGCTTTTTCTGGCATAATTGCCTACCTCCAAATGCCACGTTGGATAATAATGACAATGATGTATAAAAATAACAATTTGCCTTCCCTGGAAAAGGCAAAGTGAGAAAAGGAGTGGCCGTCAGGCAGGTTAGATCTTCCAGGAACACACTGGTTGTTTCAACACACTGGTTGAAAGAGGAACTTGACCGGAACCTGCACTCCCCGTTCAGTGTGGTCCTGACCACACCATTTAGACATACTGAGGTGGTTGTATTAAATCCCAGCTGAGGAACATGATCACATCAGAGTTTTAATGATTAGATTGCTTAATGTACGTGAATATGCATGCAAGAAGTTATTTGCAAGTGATAAAGAGGTTCTAGGGATAAGGATGGGTAGAAAAAGAGAGAGGATAGAGGTTATACCTTCTGCTATTGAAAAAGGTACTTTATCGCTTCTGAGTTGTTCTTGAATTCTGATATGAGTTGGGGAAGATTAATGTCATTTGTAGAGTTTATTGAATGGCTCTTTTCTGTGTATTTGTGTTCTGTCTCATGTATATTAATTACTTTATTAATTCAACATGTATTGAGCATGGAACATGTGCAAGGCACTGTGCTAGTTACTAATTATCCCAAAATGAGTTAAATACACATCTTTTTAAGTTATCTACTGTCTAGTGAGGAAGAGAAAAAAGTAAACTGTTTTAATAATGAGAAGGAAATAAGCGCTATGATAGAAACAGGAACTAAAAGCACCTTGGTTTAGGTAACACTGTCTGGAAGAGGGGTTGTCTGAGCACAGGTTTGAGTGATGGGAAAAATCTGCTATTTGAGTGAAGTGGAATATTTGCT